GCTCCTGCAGCCCCGAGGCCCCGGGAGGGGTGCAGCGCGCGTGCTGGGGGGACTGGGGGGCTGAGGGCCGGGGGACCTGGGGTTGGGACTCTGCGCTCCCCAAGGGTGGGAGTTGCACTCTGTTAATGGTGCCCACAGCGTGGGAAGAGCGCCCACAGCCGAGCAGTGAGGGTAACCCCGGGAGAGTGAGATATTTACTTGGCTGGGGGGCAAGGGGGGAAGGTGGTCAAGGCTGTGGCTCGATCACCCGGGAACCCCACCCTTGTGTGTGCATGTTGGTGGGTGGGCAGGAGGCCGGAGCTCCTCCAAGGTTCGTGGCCCCAGGGTCTACCGGGCCCCGGCCACTTAGGACCCCAAACCCTTTCCCCGCCTCGCCCGGATGTGGGAAATCCTATTTCTCCATTAGTCTGGCTGAAGCAAGGTTGGGACTTTTTAAAAGGACATTTCACTAAAAAGAAGAAAGAAAAAAAGTGCAACACACAGGGACAGATACATTCATAATGGCTGAATCTCTCCTCCCACGATAACAAACGGCCAGTCACAAATTCGCCTGAGGTATAGGACTAACATTCAGTCACTTCCTATGAAATGCCAGGCAGTCATCCAGGTACCTCATATATGTTAAGCTTCACAACTTTGAGAAGTAGATTTTATGCCCGTTTCACAGAAGGAGATAAAGGAGGCCTGGAGGGGTTGGGTGAGTTGCCATTCTAAGCTCTCAGATTCTCATGAGAGTTTGAGGTCTAACAGCACAGCTCATGTTAGTTCCACTGAACTGGACATCCGGGCAGCCCCTCACCTTGTCTCAATCTTTGTTGGGAAATCAGGGGGGCACAGCGCTAAAACACTTTTTTCCTGGTCCTGGAGTGTGTCCCCTTTCCTAGGACGCCTGCAGGTCCACCAGCCCAGAGGACAGTGGCTTAATATCTCCTCCCCATCCCAAGACATTAACTTTCTGATTAACTTTTGCCCTTGAGTGCCAGACCCCGAGGGTCTCGCCTGTTTTCGCTTGCGGGAAAAGAGATGATATTCTGAGGCTGGAAACTCGAGGGAGTGACGTAGGCGGTCTGCACCTCCGGTGATCTGGGGCCTCAGCCATGTTAAGGTCCTGGACAAATCCAGCTAAGAGATACTTACGGAAACCTCTAAGAACCCCAGGGTGCCTCTAGCTGGTTTGGCTCAGTGGTTGGAGCGTCGGCCTGAGAACTGAAGGGTCCCGAGTTCGATTTCGGTCAAGGGCAACGTACCTTGGTTGCAGGCTCAATCCCCGGCCCCGGTTGGGGCATGTGCAGGAGGCAACCAATTGATGTGTCTCTCTCACATTGACTTTCTGTCTTTGCCCCTTCCTTCCACTCAATCTCAATAAAAATCAATGGGAAAAATATCCTTGGTGAGGAGTAACAAAAGAAAAGAAAAGAAAAGAAAAGAAAAGAAAAAGAACTCCAGGGGCCCTTGATCCACAGTACATCAGGCCTTATGTGTAGACTGAATCCGTAGAAGTGCCTGTGCTCTGTACCTTAAATCCTAGTGCTGAAGCTCTTCACTAATCTTTGAGAAAATAGGGCCCAGAGCGTGAGGGGCCTTGCCAGCCAGTTGGTGGACTTTGAACGTCCAGTCCACCGTTCCCTACATTCTGCCTCTAGAGACAAGCTGGGGAGGCAGCTCAAGGTCGGCTCGCCCACCAGGAGGGGACAGAAATGGAATCCAAGGAGGCAGCTGCCAAGCAGACCAGCAGCCAGTGCGGCTGATCAAAGCCTCCCGCTGTCCGCAGCCCGGACTCTGCTCCTGGGGAGCGCCCTGCCCTGGGCGCTGCGGGCGCCTTGGGATTCACCGGAACAATGTGCGCAGAAGGGCAACGATGGTGAGCATGGTTGGGAGTTTGTTCAGAAAGAGGGTAAGCAGAGCCTGGGCCATAATCTCAAAGGCTGGCTCTGCGTTCCAGGTGGCGGTGGGACTCCCACTCCCACTCAGTCTGGTCCAGTGATGGGTGCAGGGCTGCTGCTGGGTCCTGCCCAGTGTCCCAGCTCCTCCTGCCTCCCTTCCCTTGCCCCCCCCCCCCCCCCATCAGGCCCAGAAGAAGCTGCAAGGGGGGCGCATGCCAGGCTTGGAGGTGCTTTTATTGGGGAGGAGAGGACTCAGCAGCATCTTGACAAAGCTAGGCACGCGTGCTCCGGGTCTAGGACAGACACAATAAATAGATGGTCGCCAGAGAGGGCTCCCCACGCAGTGAGAGGGCACCATCCGCCCAACCTCTGGGCTTGCTCATCCTCTTTGCTGTGTGAGCTGGGTGTGGGGTTCGCTGCAATCTGGGGGCCTGCAAGAGGACTGCTTGGGGCTCTAAAGAGAATCGGATCCTCCGTCTGGCTGTGAGAAGGCCTTGATCTTGGAGACGTCCGAGCTGGTGCCTAAGGGCTTATCTGAGGAAAGAAGGATGGAGGTGAGGGAAGGGACCCCCCAGAGGTCCCGTGGACACTCCGCTTGGACCTCCAGGCCTGCCTGAGCCGTGTTGTCAAGTCCCTGGGGGAAGAGCCCATGCCCAGAACCCGCCACGCTCAGTTCCACCCTGGGGCGGGCCTGCTGGCTCTCACTGTCACCCAGGGAGCACCCCACATTTCCACTGGGGTTCCCGGGGTGTTCTCACCCCCAGCGTCCTTCTGCTGGCTTCCAGCCGGGCCACGACCCGGGGGGCATCCTGTGGACACACCATCTGGAGCTCCCCCGGGCTCAGGTACAGCAGCTGTGACCCCGTCAGGGCCCCGAGGGTCTTCACGGTGCTGGGGACAGACAGGCCATCAGTGTGGGCAGGGGACTTGGGCCGAGTCTGGCAGAGAGGGGCCGTTTGGGCTCCGAGGCTGGGGTTGCCGGAGAATTCATGGAACAGGGCGTGTGGAGGTGAAGGAGTAACCTATGCATTTTGGCTTAAACCAATTTCAGACTCCTGGTCTGGAGGGAGGTGTGCAGGGAAGAAAATCTTGTGGGGGTAGGTGGGGGGGTGGGGGGGTAGCAGCCGAGGTTCCTCCTGTGTTCCCCCAATTGTACTGCCTTCCCTATGGCAAGGGCTTCCCACTTAGGCATGAACACAGCCCCTCTTCTGCTGTGTGGGACTGTCATGTACCATGTAAGTACCGTGTAGGTAGCGGGTAGACAGGAGGCAGGTCCTGGGGTTCTGGGTCTCCTTGGTTACTGTCTGAACCCTCCACCAAGGCCCCCCACGCACCCCAGGGCAAGGCGCTCACCCAGGGGTGAAGTTCTCTGCCTGCAGCCAGGCTCTGACCTCCTCGGGCCTGGAGCTCAGTCGCAGCATTGGGGCCTAGAATTGGGGGCACTGGGAGTCAGAGACCAACTCCTCCCAGAGCCCCCCAGGGCCCCCATCGCCTGGGCCTCCATCGCCTGGGCCCTGCTCTAGGCTGCTGGCAGGTAGGGCCCAGGCTTAGGCTCGGATCCGGCTCCTGATAAGCTCGGCCACGTGAGCACGCAATGACATGAAATCAACCAGGACAGCCTTCTCTACTGTCCCGAGACCCCTGCCCCACCCGCTCCGGCCCCAGAGCTGAGGCTGGTTGAGCCCCGGAGTACCCGAAGGGCAGGGCTCTGCCTCCCGGGCGGCCCCGACTGCAGGGGCTCCAGGATGTTGCTGGGAATGTAGCCGCTGTCTCCCGTCTGGTCCCTCACCAGCCACCACCGCTTGCTGTGGTCCAGAACCTGCCGGGAGTCACCCTCAGTCACAGGAGCCTCTTCCTCCCCGACAAGGCTTTCTCCTCCCTGGCCCTCCCCACGTTCCCGC